GTTTCCATCGTTGTCTATTTTGTTTAATGTTATTACAATGGCTTCCTCCACCAGTATTTTTGTGTACATTGACTCTATACTGAAGCCACTCATACTGATTTTTATGAAGCTGTTATATGTTTATAGGATTGAGCAAGGTTATTTATGCTTCTTTGGTGCTCCATATAACTGTGGTATTCTTGCATCTGTACTTCTTAATAGTAGATAGAGATCAGTGTTGACCACATTTTTGTCTTTTGGTTGATGATATACTACGTAGTTTTAAAAGAGAAAAAGAAATGATGAGTTTTTAACACATTAACAAATAACATAAAATCGTAAAATTCACACTAGAAAAAGAGGAAAATTAGTGTATAAACTTCCTAAACATGAGCATAAAGAAAAAAGAAACATTTAGTTGGAAAATTAACTAAAAGAAGAAAAAATAATAATAAACACATATACAAGAACAACAAGAAAATTGACCAAAACACCGAATAAGAGCAAAATAAAAAATGTAGCTAAGGATCAATATCATTTGCAGGTGTTATTAGTGAAAAATTAATTAAAGTTTGGTACAAATTAAGCAAAAATCATAACTTAAACGTAAAAACTAAAATCGTAACTAAACAAGGAACTAACATTAAAAGTTTGTACCGAAGTTATATAATAATGAAAAATATGGCAATAGCACAGTGAATAAAATCGAATGTTTAGACTGCGAAAGTTTCTATATAGGAGAAACAGGTAGGGAAATAACAACCAGATGCAAGGAACATGAAAAACCAAAAGAGTAAAACAAAACACGAAATTAACTTTTAAAAATATTAAAGTAATTAATATAGAGAGAAACCTAAACAAAAGAAGAAATATGGACGCACTTAGAATACAATAATTAAAACCTAGCATTAATAAAGCATCAACAGCACCATTATATTTGTATTAGCTTAATTACATTTTAAACCAGAGGGAGCTAGTATATATATATATATATAATAAACCAAATTATTTGATTAGATGTATATGTATTTTGAATATATTCGAACCTTAATTGTTGCACGTGATCATGTCTCACTGTCAGAGACAAAACGTTGTACAGAAATAAATCTATTATTCCACAAATTACTATTTTAAAACGTCATATACTTTAAACATGATCTCAACCCTTGATCGAATAAACAAGATATTGTTTTAGTTGTTGAGTTATACGATATGGGTCTTAAATGTAAACCTTGTTTATGGTATTTAAGGACTGAATATAATGCATATATTCGGCTATGGGGGATAGGGGTTAATTCTGTTAATATTTTTTCCAGTAAGATATTTTCCTCTTTTAGATGTTTGATTTCCTTTCTTGCTTCTTCATCGACGGTCTTGGCTAGAATTCAATTTATAATTAAATAGGTTGATGTGTCTTGAATATGATATTCTTTTTTAAATTCATAACTGTTTTTGGTTAAGACAACGAAAACTTCCCTTTGTTGAATTGTTTTATGATAAGATTTTAGTTTGTTCGGGTTTTTTCTGCTTGTGAGGTGTTGTCTTTTTTGATGCTTTTTATGTGTAGCCAAGATATTTTAAATTTGGTGTTTTGTTTTGTGGCCGTTGATGCTTTTTGTGCTTGACATTTCTTTGAGTGAAATGAGTGATTGCTGATTGACAGATAATGCTGGTTATCCTTCTGGTAATTTATATCGTCTAAGGGGTTTTGGTTAGTAGTGGAAGAGCTAAGTTCTCCATGGTATCTGCAAAGATTTTGCTTGTGTCTTTTGTGGTTTTTATGTGGAATTTTTCAGACCCTTGTTCATTCTTTAGTTTCATGATATTCTTTCCAGTAGATACTGTACGTGGATTTACAAGTGATGTTAAAATCTTTAGTTTGTGTCTTTCGCTAGGAGTGACATAGAATTGGACTTAATTTTTTGTTTTCTGTGATAACTGCTTGGTGGACTAATGGAATGACTTTTTGTAGTTGTGTTATAATGTTGTTGCTTTTTATTCCAAGCAGAGTTGGTACCTTACTTCTATCTATGATGCATTTTACATGAATTTGTTTCTTCGATATGTATCTTTGACGTTAGGGCGTTAAGCAAGTTTTGGAACAGCTTGTCTGTTATTTTTTCAATTATTGATAAGATATTTTCTATTAATTTCTTGTGATGCTGGTTTTTTCGATAATTGAATCGATAACATCTCGTAGAATGGTTTTTTAAGAAGAAAACGGTGTTGATTACTTACTCTTTTGTAGACAGATTTGTAATCGGATGAGACGTCTGATTCTTGTCGATATAATGTTATTTTCTCGGTAGTGTTGTAGAAAGCCTATTTGTTTTTCTGTCCTGACCAGCTTGCTTTTCTGTGCTAGAAATGTTGCTCTAACATTACGGTGGATTCGGACGAGTAGGAAAACTATTTCATTGTTTTTCAGAATTTCTGGTGCATACTGTAGGGATTTAGACATTATTTTGCAATAAAGTTAGAACAAACAACCTATACTTTCTAGATAATAATAAAAATGTTTTTTTTTATTTCTCCAAACGTTTTGCCATTAAAAGTTTCATCGAGGCTAGTAGTACAAAAAGTCTTTCTGTGATCCAACTTCGAACATACATGTAGACCATAATGTAACAGACATTGTACACTACAGGACACTAGGTTACTTCTCTGAGATATAGTCATCGTTTTCTTTATTACCTTAAATACTGTCTAATCCAGTGAGGCAGTGCTAAGTCTACGAACGTACAACGCTAAAGTACGGGGTTCAATCCCCTGCATAAACATAGCAGATAGCCCATTAGGGCTTTGTTCTAAAACATAAAACAAACACTATACTTCTAAAACGCATTAATTGTATTCACTACCAATATTCGTATGTTTAACAAAATTGCGAATTTTCAATTCGCAGGTAGATAGACTTAATCGATAATTAGATCAATAGAATATTGTTGACGCGTGTATTAGCAATAATATGTGTATGATCTCGTAATTTTCAAACACAACTAATACTTATTTTTTACACATTTTTTCCAGTTCGATTATATTTTGGTATCTGTTTTGGTTGGTTCAAGTGGTAATATATCTTTAAAGGTGTTTTTTTTATTATTTACAAAACGTTTAACAGAACGAAACTTAATGTTTGCCCTTCACTTAGAGGATCAAATGTTGAACTCACACGTTTTCATTGGTTTAGACACGAACAAATCGTTGAAAGTTTCATACTAATATATTAAATAAATTACCATCTTCTAGAATTATTCAATTTTCATTTTAATATTATTTGAAACTTATTAACACATGATGTTCTCAGTATAACTTAATACAAATGCAGATAGAAATTATTTTCTTATCAACCCATATTCTATAAATCATAATATTTTCGGCTTAAATGGAACACGTGTTGTTTAAAGCTTTGTCCAGAATGTACACATTTTTTTCGACGAATGTATTTAGATAGCTCAGAAATGTTATTATGGACTGAGTTTGTAATTTTCTTTAAAAAGTGTTTTTGTGTTAGGTAATTTTGTTTTAGGAATTGAGAAATGTCACTATTTTTTTAAAAGATTTCATTATGTTGATTTATCAGACACGCGAGAAAACTGTTCATTGAAGTGTATCAGGTGCTGTGGTATCAATCTTTAAATAATTTGGCAAACACCTCACAAATGAATAATTATAGTTGAAATCAATTATTTTGAAATCCTAAATGGCAGCATTAAACTTCCAAATGAGTTTCCAATGACTGCTATCTTAAAGCAAGGGCCAAACACTTTTCGGCGGGAATACCATCAAGAAATGTAGTGTTTTCCTTGACTGTTGAGGGACCAACCAAACCCAGTAGAACATCAAATCCTTCTGGATGCATATGAAACGAATACTTAAATAGCGATAAGTCTGAGTCTGATACATAACTCATTCTCAATAATTCCAAGCACATCGACTTTTTTTAGTACCTTAAGTACTTCACATATGTACAGTCGCCTTTTTGTATTTGATCTATAGTGAATTATTTATGTAAATGTGGCAGTGAGACAAATTTTTAGCTGCTTCATCCGAGTAACGAAGAGGAAATATTATTGCTCAGTGTGGATAAACTGTTTCCAAGTTTTATTTCTGGAAAGTTTCTTCAGTAAGTAAATCAACATTTCCAAAGCGATGTTTTACAAGAAAATTTCCATAGTCTGGACGCAACATTAGCATGTGAATTTTTGGTTGTTTGTTTGGATCCAAAATAAGATGAATAAAATTTTAAATTAAATTTCAGTGAAATTACTTTATTTTGTGGATTCATACGTATTTGTTGAAGCACATTGTTAGGTCAATGAGTTTTCTCACTATTAAACCATCTATTACGTAATTGTTACAATGAAAAAAGTTTCTGGGATCAATTAAGGAGTTACGCTGTTATTGAAGTATCATATAAAACTACATCATTTTAGTAAAACATTTTTTCACAGAAGCGGATTCTTGTATTTCGCGTGTTTCTCAGTGAACTGATATCAGTTTAAATCAAAATAATGAACCGAACAAACCAATGATCGTCAAACTATGTATAAACGTCCCATTAAGCTTTATTTCGAACAGGCTCTAGCATACAAGTATAAATAAAAAATTATGTCCCTCGATGGATCAGCGATAAGTTTATGGACTTACAACACTAAAATCCGGAGTTCGATTCCCCGCTGAGAACATAGTAGATAGCCCAATGTGATATTGCGCTAAAACAAACAATAAAAATTAATCAACTATTCAATATTAAAAATTCGCCCTATTCTTTCTTCTTTCGTATCTTTACTGTTTGTATGTCAAAATATGTTTTGACAAAGGTAGAAAATTTCGTGAAGACACATTATTTTCCATGCAGAATAAAAGCAAAAAAATCATACATACTTACATACTTCTGAGTCCTAAAAATTCATTATTGAATTATAAAAGTATATTACAGCACTTACTTAAGAGCATCGAAGCTAAACTATACGGTGAAAATAATAATTGTAAAAAATTATTTTCATTCTTTGGCGATTACTAATAACGATATTAATAGAAGCTGCAAATAAGGCACAAAATATAGCTCGCCTTGCATCTGAAAACATAGCACAATACACATACATAGTAGAAGTAATGATTACAAAACAGACACCGTACGTGCATTTAATATAGAAGTCATTGTGTTAAATTCTTAAATAGCTGGCTAATAAGTTTGGTCTTCGTTATTTATAAGCTCATGGTTTTGATATGGCCAATCTTGATTCGATTATGATTACTTTTCAAACACCAGTAAACATTTATTATTTAAAAAATGCCTGGCCCATTTGAGTTTAAATGAAGCCTCAATTAATTAATAATTTTACACATACTGTACAAATACTAACATACATATTAATATTTATAAAGAGAGGACACTGTTGTATTAGAATGTATAAATACTTGTACTTGAGGTTTTGAAAGGAGTGGCGGACTGGTGGAAAGTTGTACTTCATCGAGAACAAGCAATGCTGCAAGTTGAAATAAAGCTGTTATGTTTTGAAACTACGGTTAAATGAAAGTCCAAATCTAATTCAGTTCCATTGTATCTTTCTTTGCAGAAATTATGCTTCAAGATCCAGAATATATGCTCAGAATATCTTGTGGAGTGGGTTCGGTTAAATGTATGGTTTGTAACGTAGGACATTTTCCAAGTCTATTAATATGAATTCAGATGTTACTCAAAAAATTACGGAAAACTACTAGTATATTATATATATATAATAAAAATGGAATTGGGCCAATCACTACGCGGTTAATTTTTACAGTGTTAACTGCTAAGCAAGAGCATTACAGAGCATTCGCAAAATGTTAGATGAACCAACTAAATGATCTTAGAAATGTTTGTTGTTAAACGTTTCTATTTAGAAAAACAAAAAGAATGGTTTAATCGCAGTGTTAAACAGTTTGCTATTACGAAAGAAACAACAGCACAAATTGAAGTTATTGTAGTATATATGATACATTTTGTAACATTACTGTCCATAAAAGGTTAGAACAACATTTCTGTTTAGATCTACAATAGTTAGGCCTTTAATCTCAGCATTTATACATTCGAACGTGTTTCAGAGTCACAAACGTATTTACTACTACGCATGTTATCTGATAACATGTTCCACACAAGGGGTGATTTTTCAAACTGAAGCATAAAGCCAGTGTTGGAACAAAAACTAAATATATCTTCATCATATATTTACACTTTGTCTTCAAATTTCACAATAATGTACATATACAAACGGCTCACATATTACGCTCATAAAAATAGCTTTATCAGAATCAACAAAGAAAGACTTATACAGCCGATTAAGACATAGCCAGATATATATATATATATATATATATATATATACATTATCATAATATGTATATTTATTAGTCACTTAACACTTTTTTGGGGAATATATTTTAAAAGTCATGTCTAACCAGCTGCATTTTATATAAAACCGTTGCAGTAATTAATATTCATAACATGTATAGTTTGTGTTAAGTATGCAGAAATCAACTGATTACCACATAATATAAACATTTCATATCCCAGCGCAAAATATGAAAAGATGTATTGGTGTGTAATAAATGTTACTATGTGGGCGCCAGAATAAAACTGAGTTGTCCCTTTTCACTGACATCCAAATTATACATCTTACTCGTGTCGAAACATATTCTACTGCAACGGAACGGTCTTGTTTTTTATTGTTGTTGTTTATGTAAATGTAAACACTTTAGTCTGAACTAGAGTCTCCAGGAGTGTTTGAAAAGGAAGACAAAGAATTTTCAGATATGCTTGTGTACATAGTTTCTTCTTCTTGCCTCGCTGAATTGGTCTGTTTGTTTCTTTTTGCATGTTTCTGTACATCCTGCGTATTGACTTCCGCGAAAACACTGAAGTTTTTCATGGAATTGTTAATATGCTTCTTTTGAGCTCTCGCAGACAGTAATTGGTGGAAACTTGTGCGATTTCCACGTTTTAAGGATTCTAGTTCATTTACATAAACTTTTGGATTAGATCTATTTTCCCAGGATAAAATGCCCTCGTTTTGGCATTGAAATGTCTCATTTGATGAAAATTCTACTCCCGAAGAATCGGTAATACTAGATGTTTTCGTGTTTTCACTACTTCCAACATTAAAACTGACTCTGAGCGAGTCAGAACTACTAGCCTTTGGTCCAAAGACTGCCGTTTCGCTCTGAGTAAGATCCATACCTTCATATTCTGAACTACTGTGTAAGAGTTTGGATGCTGAAAGTGTTCGTCTGATTTCTGTAATGTCAGATCCTCTTGGTTCGGGAATAGAAAAACTAGAAGAGGACATTGTAATACGCAATGAGTACTTTGGGATTGTTTCTTCTTTTGATATTTGTCTTTCGTATTGAGAACTTGTGCGTTCTTGCACAGGGGATTGATGTGGGGAATTTTGCGGGGAAGGAGAATCTTTTTGATATAGATAAATCTGACTGAGAGGGATCCCACCATTTAAATGCTTGTCTCGAGCGAACGTGAGAACGTCCATAATCCAGCGTAACTCTTTCCAGATATTGTCTACTTGAGTCTGGAACATCTGGAGCTGAGATAATCTTTCTTTGGCAGAAATAACTTCATGCGAAGAGAAAGCCTAAAAAGAGATTTTCAAACCGTCCATATTAGCTGAAGTTATGAAAATCCTATATAGAAATTGAACTTTCGAGTTATGATCATAAGTTAATGTTCTATTTTTGCACATGGGAAAAATATTAATAAATATCTAACATATTTTATTACCAAGCGGTTTTATTCATTAAATACAAAAGACGTTTATTCCACTTATGTTGCTTTGATAGTCTTTTTATTTTTATATTTTTAGAGAAAACTACATAAACTCTCAAGAAACTACAGTTAGATAATAATCGTTTACATAAGTGTTTTATAACGTGCTCTATTTTGAAAGCATTACACCGACCCAACTGCTCTTTGAAAGTGTATCTAGCCTCACCTACGGAAGAAGGTATTGTAACCAAGGTACTAAATAACTTATAGTGTGTGTAGTTTACAGTGATATATAACCAATGCGTTTTAGAATGTGCTATCATCATAATCCATCTTAACCATGACGTATATGCTGCACTTATTATGCATATAAAAATAAAAATATCATGAATTATCTAAGAAATATGTTTTTTAAATTTAGAACAGGCCAAGAAGTTCTGTTAAAAGCTTATGTAATTCGTGATTCGCAACACGTTGCTGCAAAAACTCAATGCATACGTTTGAGTAGTGGGTACGCTATTAAAGTGACGGATAAACCCCACTGTTCGGTTAAATCAAAGTAGCTCAAACGTTGTTAATGGGTGCTTATGACTACCTTCATCCTTGTCTATCAGTTGGAAATTAGAGACGGCTATGCGCAGATAGCTCTTTGTTACCTTTGCGCACAAATTCTAAAATAAACAAGCTCTGAATGACTGTATTGTGAAAAACAAACAGACATTCCTTTCATTTTATAATAAACAACTTAGGATACTTAATGTGTGTAAGTTTTTTTTATCTAATCTGGTTGTATGTGAGAGTAAAACACCCAATAAATCTTTCATGAATTAATTTCTGAATTGTTGAATTTTTATATTTTTAAATCTACTTTCTAGCCATTTAATCTATATTTTGATTAGAAAAATGTATTCACCTCTCGCTGTGCATGCTGGGCCATTAAGGTATCCATTTCAAGAATAGAAGAAAGCCGAGAATAATGGGCAATGAAATTGAATCTGTACGTTGACATATGAACTGGTAAGGAGATAAGAACAATAAATAATAAGAGCCAACATAATGATATAAAAAAATTAATACTATAAAGCTAAGTTTGCTTACATGACGAGTACAAAAAAAGAATGAATCCCAAACTGGTCAACAATTGAGCGATATAGTATTTATATAAGTTGTATAATTTGTTTTATCACGACAAATTAACTTTATTTACCTTTACTATAAAAGTAAAATCAAGTAGGAAATTTTTCTTAACTACAGTTCAAGTAAAATATTAGGATGCATTTAGAAAGCAAAATCTTTTGCGTTAAAAAAAAGGTAAAGTACATATTGTGTTTTACAGATTTAGGAGCTTACGTATTTCAAACACTTGAATAGGAAGTGGAATACAATCCTTCCGCGATGTCAGGTCATCATACTGTCCAGGTATAGCACAGATATTCTCAACAGGAGGGAGAATAAGTAGAAAAGAGACATTTGGACTAAGTTCAATGACGTCAACATCGTATAACCTGTAAAAGATTTATAAAGTTTTAGAGGTTTAAAATAATACGTTATGAACGTAAATCGATAAACCCAATCACTTTTCAATAAGATATCAGTGATTACAGATTAACATTGTTAGTTTGTAGTTAAGCACAAAGCTACACAAAGGGCTAGCTGTGCTCTGCCCACCACGGGTATTGAAACCTGGTTTCTTAGCGATTTAAGTCCGTAGACATACTGCTGTGCCACTGAGGGAGCACAGATGAACAAGTAAAAGGCTCGGGTGTTTTTATGAATATTTTTTTTTACAACCGGGTAAAAGAAAGCATCAGTTTTTACTAGTTTAAAAACATTATTGTTGTTGACGTTTGAAATGAACTTTTCGTTCTATATTTAATCGCTAGGTGAATTCGTCGACGAATTAGGTTCACACGGGTAATGTTGTTTTAAACATCTATAGATGAATTAGGTTCACACAGGTAATGTTATTTTAAACATCTATAAACGAATTAGGTTCACACAGGTAATATTATTTTAAACATCTATAACACAGGTAATGATATTTTAAACATCTATAGACGAATTATGTTCACACAGGTAATGATATTTTAAACATCTATAGACGAATTATGTTCACACAGGTAATGTTATTTTAAAAATGTATAAAACCTAATTCGTCTATAGATGTTTAAAATATCATTACCTGTGTAAACCTAATTCGTCTATAGATGTTTAAAATAGCATTACCTGTGTAAACCTAATTCGTCTATAGATGTTTAAAATAACATTACCTGTGTAAACCTAATTCGTCTATAGATGTTTAAAATAACATTACCTGTGTGAACCTAATTCTTCAAACGGAATGTCGTAGTAGGAAAACAGGTTTCTAGCTGCTAAAGAAATTGCTTTCTGAAATTTTAGTTGAACAGTAGATGGCGTAGCGGTAGATTCTTCAAACTCCTGAGCTTTCAGCCACTCCCACTCTTCCCTAATAAACCATTATATCCATTCACTTTTACAACAGAAAAAAGTTTATAATCTAAAACTTTTAATTAGTCTGTTTTATTAATTTTTGAAATTGAAACAGTACACACTATACATTATATTATATAGCTTAGTTCATTTTCAGTTTACTTACGGTTTCTAAAACGGGTTTTTTTGTATTTAATGTTTAGTACAGTTTCTGAGATAAAGTTAGAGACTTTAATTTTTAGGACGTTTTGGGATAATTCTTTATGATATATATTTATTTAGTATGTGTAGCAAGGTTTAGTAAAGTTTCCATTTTAAAATGACTTTCATAAAATGTTTTGTTTGTTTGGACTGTTTACTGCAAAGCTATTGAGGCTATCTGTTTACGGCATAGCTATTAAAGCTATCTGTTTACAGCATAGCTATTAAGGCTATCTGCCGCGGTCTATAATTTGAAACCCCCTCCCTTTCGGTGGCTAAGCGGTTTATACCGCTAAAAATCAGGTTTCGATACCCGCAATGGGCAGAGCACGGATAGCCCACTGTGTAGCTTTGTACTTAACAATAAACAATCCTTATTTTTGAACTAAATGAATAATACAATATTTGCTGAATTTTATGAGTATCTTTATATGTATATATATATATATATATATAATGATCCCCAAAAATGTAATGTCTAGCAAGCAGAGTTGCAGGTTCGAATCTCACCGTGTCTACCTAAGTTATTCCACTTGAATCCAATAAGCCCAACATTTAGCAGTTCTCTACTAGTTTATATGCCACTTATCTACTTAACGGATCGAGTGAAAGTTACAATCATTACAACACAACATGACTGGAAAAGAATCATGTTCATTTTAACTATGTACAACAAAGCTTTACTTTTCGGTTTTAGTTGACTTTTAATTGTGTTTTTGTTGCTACAGGGTTTTGTATCATTATCCTTTTATTATAAGTACTTTGAAAAAGTAAAATGAGTTCACAGTTTATGTTTTAATCATTTTTACTCATTTCACAGTCCAATAATTTTATAGATAGTTTTACGATATTTACTAATAAATACTTTATTTGTTTAAAGGATTTATTCTTTTGCAAAGTTGCAACAAAAATATATCCGAGCGTGAGAAATATCTACAAATAGTTCTTTTTTTACATTATTCTTAGTCGTTAGATATATACAAGGTTTAAAAAATACTTAAAAATTTAGCTGATAACTTTATTAATAATTAATATTTTTTACTTTCGAGACAAAAAATGGTTCATTACACTTCATTATGTAACTCACCTTGAAACGTGAGAATTCTCTCGAATTCGCCAAAAAGGAATAACATTTGGCGTTTTCTGTGGAACTAACACTCGAATGACATCAACGGAACTTTTTAACTTCACGTAGCCTAAGTAGAGCCCACGTGGTAACGGCGTTGTACTCATTTGGTTGTAACTAATCATGTCCTGTAAAAATATTAATTATGTCATTATTTCAGAAATCTCAAAACCACGAAGTTTTATTAATAATTACAGAACAGCGTATTAAGCTAAAAAACAGTATAATGAACATCCAACTTTTTCTACTGCATAAAAACAGTATATGAATTATGTTATTGAACAAAAGGTCTCCCGAGTAACGACTTGTGACAAACAAGAGATAGAACTGAAATATTAACTTTACTCAACTCTAATTTGAAATCCATAATAAAGTAATTATGAGGAATGTGAAAATAATCTGCAGATTATTTTGACACTTATCATGAATATTAAGCATTTTGATAATAGCATTGCTCATTTGATCGCTCTGATGTTACATTTACGCTATAAAGATATTTATGTTATTTATTGCTAGAAGTAAAATCATCATGAGCTACAAGAACGGACAAATAACTCACTTAACATCTGTTTGTTTAAAAGAAAAATTATAATATTTCAATATCAGGAAGGCGGTAGCATTGCATATGTAGGGGTGGCTGCAATGGTTCATCGAAATGGTATTTTAAATATCTCCTCAGTAGGTCATCAGAACTTTACAATACTATACAGTGTTTCTTTTTATAACAATATTTAATTAATGACTTATCACAAGTTCTTGTAATGTCTGTAAATATCATAACAAAAAGTTTGAATTTCTTGGTCTTCTTTCTTCTTATTATTACATAATAACACAAAAACGAAAACAATGGTGTCAGTCAATTTCACTGAGGTGACATAGTTTCAAATGGAATATCCGCTTTTATAAGTATTATTAAGTAGTAGTAATTTAAAAAAAAGATCATAATTCTAGTGTAAACAATGTTATCATTACCCCTTGAAGTTAGCTTTTTTACATAAATTTTTTGTTACTTTAAAAAGCTTACGTACAGGGTGAAACATGAATAACCAACCAATAACAAAGGCCTGTGATGGTTTTATTGTCTTGAAATATTTACATGTTCTACCGTAATTCCTGTGCGCTGAATCCGAAAATGATATGATTTTTCATCATCACGTACAGATTTTTCACAAAACGTCATATGTATTTTTACGTAAGTGAATTATTTTTATTGAAATGGGGTCACATTTTGTGATGCTTAAGATGTTGATAACCATTGGCTATAGATTTCTTTAGACCAGTCGCGACGTGAGAGTCTTATCGATCGTTCTAGAGCCAACGAGAAACACACCGCTAATATATAAATGGTTAACAGGCCGCATGACGTGTCATTTCTGGATAGTATTTGTTTGTGCTTGCACTTTGACATTATTTTTTTTCTTTTTGATATTAGTTATTTGTCGCTATGGCAACAAAAGGTTGTGTAAATGACCCAAGCATAATCTGTTATACTTGTTGTAAATTTGTTTGTAAATTTTTTCTTCCCGATTTGTAGAAAATTTTTACGTGATAGAAAAAAAAAGAATATTATTTTCAAAATCTGCTTAGCTGAACTATGGAAAATCAGTTATTAAAACCAAAACAACTTTTATGGAGCTTAAATTTGCAGGCCTATGTAATAGATAAACAATACATATTAGAGTTGGAACCTCATTGTATTTAGAACTTGGCTATAAATAGAACCTTCCCATGTCTATTGAAACACTGCATTAAAAAAGAACACGTACAAGTAAAGAAAAAACTTTTCAAAAAGGAAGTAAACTTAAGGATGCCAAATAATCAATCCTTCAAAAACAATGCAAACAAGACAGTAGGGATAGTATTTACATCATCTCTACATAATAGCACAGGAAAAAATTAACATATAGCAATATATATAACTATTCAATCACAATTGAGTTTAATTTATCCTATTTTTGTCTGTTAACATTCTGCTACACTGTGTGCTTGCGCTATTATGTAGGGATTATGCAAATACTATCCCTACTGTCTTGTTTGCATTGATTTTGAGGGATTGATATTAGCCAGCTCTACATTTACTTCCTTTTTTGAAAGTTTTTTTCTTTATCTGTTTCTATCATATGCTAACTAGTTATTCAAAATCAATTTTATGTTCTCGCAAGAATCTTAAGAAGGAAAATCTATATAGAGTAACACAAATAAAAGTTAGACTTTATGACTTAATAAAATACAACAAAATAACGTGTGTTTCTGCATTATGATCAGTTCTTTTATTATTTTGTTTTTCTAGTTACTACAGTAAAATAAATCAAGAAAAAAAATTACCTGTAACGATGACAGTAAGAGCTCGCTCACGTGTGGTGTTTCTCCAAAATCACTGGTAATTATACATGGAAGCTTTCTCAGGATTTTTGTTAGAGGGAGCCAACGAACTGATAAACTGTTTAGTGCTTTGGGATCCGAAACAAATTTTACAGTACTTAAAACAACAGTACTTTCTCGATCTTTAATTGGCTTATAGTAAAGCTGACCTAGATCTTGAACACCCAGCGCTACCTGGAAAATTCCACAACAGATTAAATCTTCATTAACTAATATAAAACAACAGGTCAGGAAAACATAAAGTTTTAAGAGTATATTAAACTCAAAATCGAATGCTATGAAATGAAAACATATTCCTATCTATGTATCTGTTAAGCTCAAAATCATTTCTTCAAGGATATAATGAAGAAAGAAAGAAATACTTAAGTCCCGAAAATATGCAACATGTTTTTCTCATATAATGAGCCGTTAACTTTAAAAGAACACGAACCAGCTGACATGAATTTGAACATATTTTTCATACATTTAACGCCTCCGCTTGAGAGGAATAAATTATTTACAGTGGTATAAGATTCTATATTAATAAATATGGATATTTTTATTATATTAGCAATAATGTAAGAAGCTTATATTATAGAATAAGATCGTTTTAAGGCTAACACAGTAAAGATGTTTTCTAAAAGAGAAAGAAAAAATATGAAACATATAAAGCTTTTTTTTAAGTAATGTGTGTTTCCCTCTCAAAGCGTTTCAAATGAATAGCTTACTAACTCACATTACCTGCATCTGCTCAACTGCTTGGAGAAGTTTACTTCGAAAGTGTAGAAGAGAGGAACTCTGCGACTTCTCCATGTCTTGTCGCAGTGTCTTTATGTCTTCCCACGTACAGGCGACCTATAGATAAATACTACTTTAAAAAAGTTTAATCTAAGACATCTTTATTAAAGTCATACGAAAATACATACTTAAATGGAAGTAAAAGTAAAAACTAAAAATAATTATAAGGGGTACGTGTTGTTCTTTCCATTCTGCTCACAAAGAGGAATTTTCTGGGGAATATTCAAGTTTTAATAATAAAACTCAACAGATAGAGATGTACATTAAGATACTGTGCATTATTTAATGTTAGAATTACATCCACCGTAACTCTAAAACAGTTGTTTGTTTCGTCTCCTTGTGTTAACCATTTAACTGGCCAAATTTGGGTTTGAAAGTTATTGTTCATTACTAATGACTGTAGATTCAACTCTTGTTTCGTTATAACGCGTTTTGTTAATATAACAAAATATCGTTTTCACCTTGATGAATGTTTGAGTAAAATAAGCACTAAAACTTTAAAGGTGCTGAATAAAATAAAGATACTCAGGAAATCTTAATTTCAATGTTATTTTTTGAAGATGGATGATGATGACAAACAGACATTATTTATACCTTAAATCGACAAACCACTTTTATTCTGGAGTATTTATGTTCCTGGTTGTTCAGCAAAATTGTTTTACTATTCTACATTTAGGGTTTCCATATCAATTAAATATTTAATGGCCAAAGAATAGTTTCGCCTAACGTATTGTTTATTTTTTTTTCATTTTGAATATAATTTTCCTAGAGTGCTTCTTAACATTTCAAATCAATGTGTTCGGAATAAATTTAAAAAAAAAAGGCAGATTTTTTTTATATTTCTAAGTTATTGATTTCCTAAGTGACAATAAATAACTTAGAAATATCAAAAAAATCTGCCGTTTTTTTAACTTATTCATAACACAATTTCTAAGTTATTGATTTCCTAAGTGACACGAGTCATATCTTATCAAATCACAAGCGATCAAACGGTATATAGTATGACATTTTCCATTTAAATGACACCTAATATGATATAGATCAGAGATTCTAAGTCTCACGCATATTCTTCCCTAATTTATTTTGTCCAAAGAAAAGACACCCATTTCTCTGCACCCACTCTAAATCGAATAGCTGGATTGATTGTCGCTTTTATAATGCACCCACAACTGAAAGCGTAGAGCGTTTTCGAAGTCATACTTTCGGATCGAGAACTTTGGATCTTCCAATTCGCAGTCTGGCATGTTAACCAATAGGCCATGCCTGACACTCAATAAAATGGCTTTTTTGCTTAATTCAAATACACCACAAGGGATAACGCTGGTTAAAATCTTACCTGGTTAAATCACCAGTAATAAAATGTTTTTTTTAATTGAAAATATTAAATAACAAGCAATTAAGCAGTTTTTATCACTACGTCATTAGGTTAACTGTTACTGTTTAATTTACAATATTTAGTTTGAGTAATATTCTATGGTGTTAATTATGGTAACTATATAAATTTGAAAAAATGAAACGTATATTGAAAGATTTCGTTCGTCGGCAAAATCCAAAAAACTGGAAATGTATAAACTATGGGGGCAGTTTGAATATCTATATACCGTTCTATAAAAGGTTATCAAAAATAGATATTTTGATTAGTTGATGACTTGTACATAGTAGAAACAAATCTTTAGTCCTTGATATGTGGTTTTGATTAAACTTATCGTTAACTTATCATTAACATGGTAAATCTAATATCTATATACCGTTCTATAAAAGGTTATCAAAAATAGATATTTTGATTAGTTGATGACTTGTACATAGTAGAAACAAATCTTTAGTCCTTGATATGTGGTTTTGATTAAACTTATCGTTAACTTATCATTAACATGGTAAAGTACTAACTGTCCTTGCTAACATGACAACCTTGTATTTAATATGTGCTAGATTACTGTCCTATCAGCACGACTATGTGTTGTATTTCATAATAAAAGTACTGCACTTTATAGAACCCAAACATTTCCTTCAGTACAGCATTACAAAGACTGTCTTTCATGACATATAAATATGGTAGTTACTAGCATGGGACACTATTGACTTTAACATCAAGGCTGTTTTTATTTTTTTCTTGGAATACAAATCAATTATTTTCACTCACCTTCATCAACCAGTTGAAGTCCGTGTGAAGAGAAGAGGGATATGTTTCGTCCACTTCAACAACAGGCAATGCTTCTTCCGTTGTTACCAAAACTTTGTCATCGTTGTATAAGAGACAAGCCAGAAAAACTCCTCTAAAGAAGATAAACAGTCAAAAAATAGCGAAATAAACTACTTTTTCTGTAGAGTAAATCCAGCTTTTTAAAGTAAGAAACGGTTTGGATATTATATCATATTAAAAATCCAAGGAAAAAGTTTATTCTTCGCCAAATAATACATTTAGTATTTTACATCATTATGCAGTCCATATATTTTAGTAAATGTTTTAATTACCTACTGTTCAAAACCTCATATCCTATAATAAACATAAAAATGTAAATACTTGCCTCTTGAGAGTTTTCTGGAATTTAGGAGCCGATGCAAAGAGGTTCCTAATGCCTCTCTTTACCTGACGTCGCTGCTGCTGAGGAGTGTCTGTAACTTGCTCTAAAATACCTGATGAAAGACATTATTGTTTAAAGTAGGGTCAAGTATGGCAGGAAAAGTTATTTCTAATACCCTAATAACCTTAGAACAAATTATAACAAGAATAACATTTATGAGAAACTAAAGCTTACTCGTGAAATGTTGCACGGTTTTCGACGCGGTAAAGGTTTTTAGAAGAACACGATGTGAATTGTTTACTGAACATTATCAAATATTTTATATTATTATAATATAACACCAAAGACGGATTGAGCCCTAACCTTCTCCCCTGTTCAGTTTTTACAGTTTTCTTAATGATCGAAAATAGTTCTTACTTTAAGTAAATAAAAAAGGACGAAAAAAAAGGGTTAAAACTAATGTTCTGAATGAGTTAAATTCAGCCTGAATTCATACCGAAGGATTTGAGAAAGCAAGGACTTTTTATTAGTTTGTAGACGATATTTTGTAAAAAAAAGTGTACTAGGATGAATTTATTTCACGGATTCATATGCCGTTAAACTGCTGAATTCTAAAATAAATGGAATATTTTGTGTTTTACTCTTTCTCCAGTGATCTTGCATTTCGTGGATTTTTTTTCTTGGTAATCATCAGAATATTCTAATCACAAAAAGAAACTCCAAATTTCATTGTACTGAGCAAAATTTTAGTAAACTGAACACGTTAATTCGATTATTAAAACTTTAAAAATTTACTGGATCTTTAATAGAAATTTACTTGTTAGTTACCTGAAGATTCTTCTCGGTCAAAAAGGGTGCCATGTTTTGGTAACAGGATAATTTTATATCAAATAGGCTACAATGTCAATAGATATTTGGATCTTGCTCAAACGACGGTAATATTTCTTTTATCCTTTTTAATTGAATATAGGTTTAAATAAGCTAAAGACTTCTTAAAGACACTAATGTAAACCAAAATAAATCGAACTAAACTTACATCAATGAAAATTACACAACAAAAAATTTTATTCCCTAAATATCGATATATTTGGACTGAAAGTCTAACCTTTAACTTCTGACGCATACGCAGGTCTAGATTTAATAACCTGGGAAAATAAATTTTCTAGTTCCTGGAGTTTTCCAATTCCTCGAGTGGTTTTATTTTCTACGTCCTTCCAACCTACCATAATGATATGTATTTGATTTAAATACTTTTAAAATCAACGACAGTTTTTTGTTTGTTTTTTGCACTAAGCTATACCATCTTATGTCACTGAGTTATTGGTAATTTATAAGCAAGCATACAGAGACAAATAAGTAATATGCACAATTAGTTATAGCATAGTTAATTTCTGAAAGCATGCTAAACGTAAAACGTCTATAAAGGAGATATTTCATTATCATTGTTTCACCATATGATTATTTTTCTGGAAGCTGAAAAGTGGGAGAAAATTAAGAGATGTGTTTTGAAAATAAAACTGTTTTTCTTGGTCATTTATATCTTTCTGGTATTTTTTATAGTTTTATTATTTAGATGTTTTATTTCAAACATAAATGTAATAGATATTTGAAAAAGTATCACCAAGTGAGATGAATTGATGAAACAGATGTCAAAATATCGAAGCGTTTCTTTTATTTTTTATCTTCAATCCATTTTAATGTAATATTACATTGTACCATTCAGGTGCTGTGGACTGAAGCAAAGAAACTCTATATCGAGTGAGTTTTCGTTCATGACAATTGCTCAACATAGAGGTCAACATCATTACGAATTTCATTGTAGAATAACAGAGTAATTGCTTTCATTAAGTAGGCTTCGCATATTTTCCCTTCATTGTTACAACATCCTTGAAGAATTTATTTTTTAGCTTTAGATAACATTGTTTTTAATTGTTCATATACACCTTTCATTTAGGAATATATTTTGATTTTTCGTCAGTTAATCTGCTTGTACACTTATAAAACACCTTCACTTTTTTTCAGCTTTAGCGACGGTACATCTATCAAGCTTACGTGGCCAAACCATAAAATAATAAAGAAAAGTAATAAAGCTTATTAATTTATCATTTACAAGCAAATAACACAAGAAAAATAAATAAAGTTTCTCTCACTAGATGGCACCCCAGAAATAGGGGAAGCTGCCTGGAATGAGCTAAAACCTTTCACGTTCCCTGCGGCCACTCTGACAAAATACGCTGTGCCCCGTGTTAGATCGGGGATGGTAACCTCTAGGCGTTGAAGATCAGTGATGTCCTGAGACCCCGCAAGAAGGCTAAAATCTTCATGACGACTCCAGTCCACTAGTTGGACATGCAAATGTAATTTTATTAAGATTTTAAACGTTAGAAAACTTTTCAGTACCTTAAAAGAACTCTAAGATCATGTGGCTTCATTTACCAAATATGTAATTAAGATATACCGTATATACACGTCCGCTCGCGTTACTGTATTTAACTCTGACGTCACAAATTATGTGTTGTAGGCATATCACTGCAGTTAATAATAAGTACAGACAAATAAGTCTGACGTCACAAATTATGTGTTGTAGGCATATATATATCACTACAGTTATTCATAAATTTTGAATTAGCATAAAAATAAAAACTTCCATTCATAATACCACCGACGCGTTTCCATACTTTTGGATAATAATCAATGAAATCAATATTACTGACTATCAACTTCAGTGTTAGTTTGTTCATACAAGATCATAACAAAGTTTTAAGAAATTCAGTAAACATGGTTATTTCCACAAAGTCCAAGTATATGTGTTCTAATATTTCACTAAGGTGATCGTATACTTATTTTGATATAACTTTCGTAATCACCATATATCTTCTGTTTCTTTGATTTGCACAGTTTTATTAAAAGTATTATCGATACAGCTTTGAAAATAGGAATATTATTATTATTAATTATTTATATTATTATTTTTTTCATTCCCATAGATGTTTTCTATTGCGCAGTCTCTTCGCACGTAGATGGAAATCATTCTTTCAGTCTTTCATTTTGTTTCCTACTGCATTCAGAGTCAAATGAATGTGGTGTTGCACTTCATGATGACCAGAAAATATGAGTTCGTTCTTTTGCTAGTTTCGTAACGCTATACGAGCAAATGAAAAACCATTGTTATGACTGGCTAAGCAATTAGAGTTATATCACCACGATACTTGCGATGAAGTTAATTTGCAAAATACGCGGATCTTTTTTTCTTTTTTTTCAGAAACCTTCTTGGTAGGTTTCGCATATTTTTCCTTCCTTGTTTTCTGTTTAGTTACTGTTACAATATCATTGAAGTGTTTTTTTCTAGTTTTAGATAATATTATTCTTAATTGTTCTTATACACCTTTCATTTAGGAATTCATTTCGATTCCCTCCAGTGGCACAGCGGTATGTCTGCGGACATACAACACTAAAAACCGGGTGCATAACTTCATACAAACAAACAAAAATCAATTTGATTTTTCTTCAGTTAATCTGCTTGTACACTCTTTTACAAGAAGCTCGCTCGGCATGGCTAGGTGGTTAGGGAGCTTGACTGGCAATATGAGGGTCGCGGGTTCGAATCCCTCTCCCACCAAACATGCTCACCCTTTCATTCGCGGGGGCGTTATAATGTGACAGTCAGTCCCACTATTCTTTGGTAAAATAATAGGGCAAGAGTTAGCGGTGAGTGGTAAGGACTAGCTATCTTCCCTCTAGTCGACCCGGCATGACCAGGTGTTTAGGGCGCTCGACTGGCAATATGAGAGTCGCGGGTTCGAATCCCCGTTCCACCAAACATGCTCGTCCTTTCAGCCGTGAGAGCGTTATAACGTGACAGTCAGTCCCACAATTCGTTGTAAAAGAGTAGCCGAAGAGTTAGCGGTGAGTGGTAAGGACTAGCTATCTTCCCTCTAGTCGACCCGGCATGACCTGGTGTTTAGGGCGCTCGACTGGCAATATGAGAGTCGCGGGTTCGAATCCCCGTTCCACCAAACATGCTCGTCCTTTCAGCCGTGAGAGCGTTATAACGTGACGGTCAGTCCCACAATTCGTTGTAAAAGAGTAGCCGAAGAGTTAGCGGTGAGTGGTAAGGACTAGCTATCTTCCCTCTAGTCGACCCGGCATGACCTGGTGTTTAGGGCGCTCGACTGGCAATATGAGAGTCGCGGGTTCGAATCCCCGTTCCACCAAACATGCTCGTCCTTTCAGCCGTGAGAGCGTTATAACGTGACGGTCAGTCCCACAATTCGTTGTAAA